GATGTTCAATTCATAGTTCTAGGTATTATTTTGGCGATTTGATCGTGCGAGCAAGTTCGTATGATATTTTTATACTTGTGTGCATGTTTGGTTTAGAGCCCCGAGGGCTCGGGTGAGTTTCCGATAGACAACAGAGTGGAATTTGACTTAGAACATTGCCGGCGTGCTTCAGTTTTTGGTGCAGGCCTCATACCTCGCAAATGCGAGGTCAGGCTTCGCATTTGTGACCTCTGATGAGTTCGCATTTGCGAGCAACTCATCGCATTTGCTAAGAGTAGCTGGGGCACCTCAAGTTGGTATTTGCGAACAAAACTTCGCATTTGCGAAGTGGGTCAAGGGGGTACAGTGATCGCAATTGCGATCAAATGGTAGCAATTTCGGAAGGTCAAAGTTCGCATTTGCGAAAAAACCATCGCAAATGCGATGTTAGCAGATATGGGGGAGTCTTCGCATTTGCGAAGAAATTCTCGCATTTGCGGGGTTCGCAATTGCGAACCCCAGGTCACAAATGCGACATCTGCAACTGATCAAAATGGGACTTAGACGGGACTTTTGTTCATTCTCTCAAATTTTCAAACTTAGAAACCCTAGAGGCAATTTTCCCAAGAGCACTTCTTCCCCAAATCATTGGTAAGTGATTCTAACCTATTTTCTTTCAATCTTTCATTACATTTCCTAAGATTTTAACCTAAAATCTAGTGTTTTCATAGTGAAAACTGGGGGTTTGAGTTGAATTAGGAATTTTTGTAAAATTGGAAATTAGACCTCAAATTGAGGTCGGATTCCAAAATAAATTACATAACTGGGCTCAGAGGTTAATGGGTAATCGGGTTTTGGTCCAAATTTCAGGTTTGAACCAAGCGGGCCCATGAGTTGACTTTTTTTGACTTTTTCAATAATGACCTAAATTGAATCCTTTGCAATCGTGGGTAGTTCCTAAAACTTAATTTGAATCGTTTGGTAGGTAATTTGCTAGATTCTATTGGTTCGGAGGCTTGTTTGAAAGGCAAAGGTGTGATTGAGCTTTGAGTGGACCTTTGGAGCGAGGTAAGTGTCGTGGTTAACCTTGACTTGAGGGATTAGGACTTAATTGTCTATTTGCTACATGTTTAGATATTGGGTACAACGTATATGTGAGGTGACGAGTACTTATTTGTTGTTGTCGGGTTAAAGCATGCAGGTGGGACTTGTTCCTTGTAGTTTATTGCTTACTTTGATCTTGTTATCCATGCTTAGACTAGTTACTTACTAAATTGATCGTTCTTATCGTGTTTACGGGCTTTTGTGATAACTGAGTATTGATTCCAAAGTTGAGATTGGTATTGTGGAACCATTGTTGAAATAAAGCTTGTTCTTGTTGATTCTATCTCCCTGCTATTACTTGTTCATTGTTATGTTGTAAGGGAGAGTGTTAATGCACGAAGGGTGATGTTGTGCCATAATGTGAGTGTTAATGCACGAATGGTGATGCTGTGCCATATTATGAGTGTTAATGCACGAAGGGTGATGACGTGCCATATTATGAGTGTTAATTCACGAAGGGTGATGATGTGCCATATTGTGAGTATTAATGCACGAAGGGTAATGTCGTGCCATATTATGAGTGTTAATTCACGAAGGGTGATGATGTGCCATATTGTGAGTATTAATGCACGAAGGGTAATGTCGTGCCATATTATGAGTGTTAATGCACGAAGGGTGATGTCATGCTGTGTTATGATTATTAATTCACGAAGGGTGATATCGTGCCATGTTATGAGAGTTAATGCACGAAGGGTGATGCCGTGCCGTATCTATTGATTTACACCGTGAGATTGAGAGTAAAAGCACGAAGGGTGCCGTGCAATTTTTTTCATTGTGCTTAATTGTTTTTACTAGTTAAAGGCATATGGACTGTTCTGGTTATCATTTCCATTGTATTTCTCGTATCTTGTATTCCCTTAGCATGCCCCCTCCCAATAGTACATGTTTAGCTGTTATTGTTGTTCTCTTGTACATATAGTGTTATCTGTACAGGTTTATTATGTGGGTGTCTTGTCATATGCTCGTCACTATTTCGTCGAGGTTAGGCTCGATACTTACAAGTACATGGGGTCGGTTGTACTCATACTACACTCTGCACTTCTTGTGCAGATTTTGGTACCGACCTTAGCTAATCGCGAGACTCGGCAGTCCGGACTTGCTTATCGGAGACTCAAGGTAGATCTCCTGGCGTCCGCAGACCTTGGAGTCCCTTTCTAGTTTCCTTATTTTACTGTTTCTTTTCATTCAGAACAATTGTATTTCGTTCATACTCTGTTTGTAGAAAATCTTAGAAGCTCGTGAGTTGTGACTCTAGATCCGAATTGTATCAGATATTATGTGCTTTATGTTATTCCGCACTCGGTTTTATTTCATTTTGGTTTAATTGACTGTATCTATTGAATTGAATAATAATTGACTTAACGGTTCTTTAATATTGGCTTGTCTAGCAAGTGAAATGTTAGGCGTCATTACAGCCCCGAAGGTGAAAATTTCAGGTCGTGACAACTCCAACTTTCGATTGTGAAACTTACATTAGAAAAGAACATATATAATAAATGCAATTACTATATTACTGACGACAAGTGAATTTTTTAAAAAGTTAAAAAAATCTCCGTCAAAAGGTGATAAGGAATGTTTGATATATTTTATATACTTTTAAAATTTAATAATTTACCTAAATATGCAGCTTAATTACGAAGGGTGGTCAATGACCACGCACCCTTACCAGAATGTATCTTCGCCCTCAGTGCAATAACGTAATCGGTAAGCACAAGGGTCTTCAGAATGTCAAACCACACATGTATAATACAATTTTGGACTTTCTCTTTTCTCATTCAAACATTTCTGCAAAATTTGACCAATATTTGTAACCGTACAAATTAAACAGGAAAATTAGACAAATAAATTTAGGAAAACAAAAAGACAAAAAGCATCAACGACTGTCACATATTTTCTATGCCTAACTTTGAATGGAAAAAAAGAAAGAAAAAGAGAGAGTTCAAGGACATGTTTTATTTGGGTGCACCGAGTTTTTTCTTATAATTTGTTTCATCAGTTAAATTCTGCTGGAATTATGGAAAATTAATTCTCTTTATCAGTTTATTGATTCCCCTCCTATTAACCATTAGCTTTGATATCTTATCCTTCTAACCACCTTTTGATGTGAATTTATGAATAGTCAACTTAATACCACCAATTGTCATATTGTCGATGCAAATTAGTTAAGACTTAAGTCATAGTGTTCTAATCATCAATAGTCTCTGAGTTAATACTTTATTCGTATCAATCTACATGATATTCTTTCCATTTTGAAATGTTTCAAAATGTTTGACACTATTCCATTTCTATCATGTTTTCATGACTTCCAAAACTGTCCAACTTTCAAACCTCAGTGTAATGCTTTTTCTAGCAAACTTACTTTTGACTATTATTGACTAATATAATATATAAGTCCAATAAAATATAAGATGAAACTGTAGAAGTAAGATTTTTTTTGGGATTTTACATAGTATATGGTTGATAATCACACGTAATGGTGAGATTGATATGGATGTCACACATTGGAGTGGGGTGAATGAAATAGAAGCCCGCATCCGGGGTTTTGTATGATACGGATATACCACCCAGACTTATAGCCTATTTGGCCAAACTTCTAAAATCAGCTTATTTTGAGAAGTATTTTTTTTCAAAAGTACTTTTGTACTTTTGGTAAGATGCAGTTTGTGTTTGACTAATTAATTTGAAAAGTACTTCTGAGTAGCGATTCGTGTTTGGCCAAACTTTAAAAAGTGCTTCTAAGTGTATTTTTCTCAAAAGTAATTTTTTTTCTTTTAAAAGCTACGTCAAACACTTCAACTTAAAAAAGAATTTTTTTTTTTAAAGAAAATAAAGCTTTTGGCCTTGGAGTGGCTTGACCAAACAGACTATTAAAGGCAAGTTCTACAGAGTGATTGTTGGACCAACTATGTTGTATGGGGCGGAATATTGGAAAAAGTCGATGGTCTATCCGAAACAACCTCTCAACCTTTATAAGACAGGAATAAGGTATGCATACACACTATTCTCCGTAGACCCCAATTGTAAAATTATACTGGGAATGATGTTGTTATTGTTGTTGTTGTTGTATAGGTGCTCCTCTCTCTCTCTCTC